TTAAAGTAACTTTTTTCCCCTGTCACCAGCAGAAGTATGAATGTGTTTTCCTTTTTTCCCCCTTCATTTGAAATGTTCAAAGTTGAAGAGAAGCCAAACCTAATTAACTATTAATATGGTTTGAAGTATTGCTTTTAAAGTGTTTTGTGGGTTTAAAATAGAGCATGGGAAATGATTTGAGTTGCGGAGGAAAGAGCTGGGTTTTTTTGTACCAGACATACTGTTTTAGTTGTGTTTGTGGAAATTTCTGTAACTCAGCACTTTTTTTAGTTTACTTTACATCAGCTTGTTTTTTCTGAGTGTCCTGGAGTCCAAAAAGGACATACTAAGGGCTGTTGTTATAGGAAATATCTTCTGTATCCCAATTTTTTGATCTTTTGGGACATATGTCCTGATAATCCCTCCTGCTCCAAAGAGAAATGTTGGGAAACTTCAGAGTCATCTTCAGGTGTTTAAAGATGGCTCATTGTGGAAATCTGGTTTAATAAATAGAAAAATAGTGAACATGCTTATCATCCCTTCCCATGGCAAGGGTTGGAACCAGATGGTCTGTAAGGTCCCATCCAACCCAAACCTTTTCTGGAGTCTGTGTTTTGTATAAGATCCAGGCACTTTGTGGCATTTTTTAATTTTAAAATTTAGTGTTGGACAGATCTCGAAATGCAATGTATCCAGTTCATTTTACTTAGATGTATGTATTTATGTATATATCTATATTAGATAGCCCTGGAGTTTGTTTGAGGGGGTTTTTAACCCTTCTTTGAGGAATTTTTGTCGTTTCTGCTTTAACATAGAATAAGACAATATCAAGCCCCTTCACAGTCACAGAGACAAATTTGCATGATCTGAGAATCTCCTGAGCTGCATCTTAATGAAACCATTTCAATCCTCTGACCAAAGAGTGAGGTCTTGTTGGATAAATTGCTGACCAAGAAGAAAGCAAACTCTCCAGCCTGCCCCTGATGTGACCACACGTGGTGCAGGAAAACTCAAGGAGGAGCAGGGGGAGAGCTGAAGTTTATCCCTAAATATTCAGCTTTGCCTTTCACCCGCCTCTTATAAATCAGTTTTCCTGGGCAGGTGTTACCTGGAGAAGCTGCCCTGGCCTGTGCTGTGGGAGGGGGTTTTCCTCAGTGTTTGCCTGCTGCACACCCAGACCAGAGCAGCGTGCCTGGGGTGCCTGGCCAGTGGTGTTTGTGCTGGTTCTGTCACAGGGGGCTGGCAAGATGCTCTGGGAAGCACATGACACACCAACCCCTTCCCCCAGCCTAGGTGCAGAGATCCTATTATTTCTGATAATTGATGCTGAGGGCTGTGGCGTGCCTCATTTAATCAGCACTGCTCAGCACACTCCAGGGATGTAATTCATGCAGGCTTCCACCTCCAGCATGGCTGCCGAGGCTCGGACACAGGCGAGCTTCTGATCAGCTGTCTGAGCACTGTTTATCTGATCAGCAAAGAACTCTGGCACAGCCAGACCAGAGGTGACATCAGCACATCTGGAACACCTCTCTGCAGCACTGCAGGGAGGTTTTCAGGGTTACACTGTACATGTGAACACTCCCCCAGGATTAAAGCGTGTTTCTGCTTATCAAAATGTGAAAAGAACTGAATTGGAGCAGGTAGAAAAGGGTTAACACGGTGTTTTGTTGACTGTAATATCCTGAGCATCCTTAGAGAACTTCCCTACAAACAGATGTGTCCTCAGATCACACATGGGTTTAAACCCTTCCTACAAACACCTCCTGCTTTTGGAAATAATGCTACGTGATTATAGTGGTAGTAAACCTATTTCCTACAGAACCTGAGTAATCAAAACTAGGCAGGACAAGCAGATTCATTAGCAGAGAATAAATAGCAGCCCCATTAAAGAAAGCAAACACAAAAATTCTGTCTGCGAGGGGCTGCTCACAGCTGTAAAGTTATTGCCTGAGCAAATACAAAGAGAGGTGGTAATTGGGAGTGATTAAGTTTAATTGATTCCCAGTTCCTTCGTATATTAACAAAAGGCTGTCCTGAAGCCTTGTTTCCTCCTTCCTCTAGCAACATACCTCTTCTCACTGTGAGATGTGCAGGTGCAACAGCTAATTTGACACGAATTGAGATAGTTCAGCTCGCGGGGAGCACTCAAAAGCCATCAGCAGAGGGATGATCTGTGTCCCCAGATCCAGCTAGATGGCCTGCCAGAGCTGCAGTTGCTGCCACCACTCCCTCGGTAGGGACAAGGGGAATTTCTCCACTGAAAGGGTGGTCAGGAGGTATCAGAATAGGCTGATGGGGTACTGCTGGAGTCACCCTCCCTGGAGGTGTTCGAAGTCTGGGTAAATGTGGCATTTTCTGGTGTGGCTTAATGGCCATGGTGGAGATTTTTCAGATGTTTGGGCAGCTACAGCTTCCCTGGATCCTCAATATCCCTGGACCAATGCTGTTTGCCGCTTCAGTAAAAGTTAAATTAAGTACTGGGAAGTTAACTTCATTCCAGATGTTTGAGATTTGAGAAAGTTTGTGGGTTTTTTCCCTGGAATCTTTAGTTAGAAACACCTCTTGCTGGCGTTTTTGGAAGAAAAACACTTCCAGAAATTACTTCAAAATCGATCTGCCTTAAAGATCTTTTCTTATTAGGGAGTTTTGCTGTTAGATAATGAAGTATTTCTTACAGCGTTTTATTAACCAGCGAGGATTCATTTAATTAAGCTTATATATCATATAGTAAATAGATATAGATAATAGAGATAGACATAGATATCTCTGGAGCTGGCAACAAGAGTTTTTCTTGGGTTAACTTTGGGACCAGGAAGTGAACCCAGAGCAGACAAACTGAATATCCTGGGAAATAATTCAAAGCCAAAGCAGGCAGATAATGACCTGCAGGGCCTGTACCCTGGTTGTGGGTAACAAGAGTGTGTAATTCCAGAGGCAGGCAGGGTAGGATGGCTCTGCTCTCCTTGGCGCATCAATCACCCTGCAGAGGCTTTGCTTGGCACTGTCCAAGCCCTTATTGAATCCTCAAAGGCAGGAGAGTACCTGGAAGGAAGCAGGCAGGAGCCTAATCGATGCCAAAGGATGCACGTGGATGTATCAGGACCTCAGTATCTCTGTGGAAAAAGTCCATTTGCTTAAAGGGAAGGGAAAGGCCTGACACTTAACACATGAAAATGGATTATTTCATCAATAGGTTAATAGAAAAGCAGGCTGCAGGTTCACTCCTGTTCACACAAACGTGCCATTAGTGTATGAAAAATGGGAAAGGCACTGGCAAAGGGTCTCTGTGCACTGGAGACCATCTTCCCTTTCAGAGGGGTGCCAAACCTCGATTTTGCCTATTTATATGTAAATGTTTCAGAGGAAAAACAAGCTTTCTGCAGGGCAATTGTGCCTCTTTAGTGCAGAGACTTCTTAAACAGGTCTTAAAATGAAAGGTTTTTTCAGCTTGAAGGATGTACCCAGTGAAAACACTTTTAGATTTGATGATGTCACTCAGAATCCAGTCCTCCTTTTCAGCATTAAAGCCTGCAGATGGCTTTATTCAAATCATACCTAGTTTAACAGTCAGGGGGGTTCAGGCAGTGCTCTTGCAGCTTTAATTCTTCAGCTGAAAATTGAGCTTTTGGTTAAAGCGTGGAATGACTTCATGTCACTGTTCCTTTTCCCTGTGAGCAGCTGTTTGGACTGAGTTTGGGGCATTGCAGAAGTTCCCTCATAAATATTGAAGGAAATTTTTTTAATTGCTGTGTCCCAGTAATGGCTGTGTTGTAGGGCATTGATGACATCCTGAAGAGTGAGGGACATCTGTGGTGGGAAGGAGAAGGGTCTGAGGTCCCTTAGAAGATTTCTTGAGTCCAACCACCAACTCAGCACCATCATGTTCACCACTAAACCCTGTCCCACATCCAAATGTCGTTTATACACTTCCAGACATGGCAATTCCACCAGTACCCTGTTACTCCAGTGGCTGTTGGGCATCCTGGTGTACTCAGATGTTTCATCTGGCTCCTGTGTAATGAAACCCAACCTAAACATTGTGTTTTAAGGATCCTAAAGAAGGTGAAAGTGTGCTCTCCCCTAATGAGTCTGAGAACAGAGAATGAGTCCCCTAATGAGTCTGAGAACAGAGTGCTTTTGAGCCATATTTTCTGCTAGTTGTGAAGCAGCAGCTCAGAAGATCTCAAAGTTTGGGTCAATTCTAATAAAACAAGGGTGTTGTTATTCTCTGCAAAGAATATACTTTTTTTGCCCCCTCCTTTCTAAAGAAACACTTTGATTTTGCAGTGGGGGAGGAGTTTTGGAGTAGCCTAGGATAATGGAAAGTATCTCTGTCCACGGCAGGGGGTGGAACAAGATGAGCTTTAAGGTCCCTTCCAACCCAAACCGTTCTGGAATTTTATGATTCTAGTTCCTCTGAGCTCAGTGCTACAAAGAACATTTGTTGGTACGAGGATTTAAGGTCATTACATCATCACCTCAGTTTCTAAAGGTGATGATGTAAAAAGGGGGTTTAAGAGTGAACTCCAGGCACCAAGTGATCCCCACAGGCTCTTGGAGGAAAAGGAGCTCTTATCTGGCTGTGTTTTGTCTTGAATTAAATTTTACAGCATTTTACAGTAGCTGTTTCATCCAGTCCTGTATCTTTTGCACAAATACTTCCTGCCTTTTTTTTCTCCTTTTTTAACTTCTACTGGTCCATTTTGTCTATTCCAATAGCAGATCCATTTAATCTTGTCAAATCGTGTCATGTTGTGGTGACTGAAAGCAGAATCACTCTGAATACGAGGTTTTCCACATTGGCCATGGATTGCAGGGGCTGAGTGGTCCTTGTGTGTATTTTCTGTATGTGAACAGGCTCGTGCTTGTATTTTACTTCACATGCTTTTTGATGTTTCTTTTCTCCCCTTTTTCATTGAAAAAAAAAATTTTTTTTCTTCCTCCCCCTTCTTTTTTCTTTATTTTTATTCTCTTTTTTTTTTTTTTTTCTCTCTTCCCCTCCTGCTTTCTGGACGCAGCCAAACGCAAAGCTTGGAAACTAAACCGTGTTGGTAGCCTGCGAAATATTTACAGCAGCAGCAGCACCAACACCGAAGGTAACAAACCCACCCCTCCCACACAAACACCTCCTCTCTCCCCCCCTTTTTTTAACCCACTTCTCCAAAATTTCGCCCTCCTGCCTCTCTCCCTTTCCCCCTGGAAATGAGATTTGCCCCAAGCATGCGTGTTTTGTTTCCACCTCGTGTTTGCAGAGTCATTCCACTTGGTCTTTTCATCTTTCTGTTCGTGTCTTTTATTTTGCCATTCATGTTCCTTTCAGTTTACTTAAATTTTGACCTTTCCCTCTAGTCGTGGAGTGGTGATGTTTAAATTACTTCAGGAACCCATTTTCTCCTTTTATTTATTTTTTTTTAAGAGATACATATATATATTTTCCCTTTCTCCATGTGGGCACTCAATGTAATATTTCCCAAGTTATTACGGTTTTTAAAAGTGTTAGTATCAGGTGTAATGATCTGTAGCCAAATACAATAGTGTGCCATGACATTTAAGTAACAATCTTAATTTGTTTTGTGCAAGCCTTCTCCATAATGCTCTTTGCAGCTCTAATCCAGAGGCGAGACAGTGCCGGGTCATTTGCATGTGCTACTCTTGCTTGTAAATTCTGGATATTGTTGTATTTCTAAAGGTCACCCGGTGCCAAAGTTCACAAATTGACTTACATTGCTTTTTTTTCCCCCCACCCAAGACAGCCGTCGTGCCTTTTGTATAATAGCACATGGAATTTTATGTATTTATTTCCCCCCCCTCCCCTCTCCACCTTCATTTGAACAACACAATTATAAACTTTCTTCTTTTATATATATATATTTTTTTTTATTATTATTACAAATGTCAAAGGTCAGAATGACTCGGAAACGAAGCAAGGAGGGGGGAGCAACCATTACCACCATCTCCAGTAGCATGGAAGAGGGATGGTGTAAGGAATAGGGAATGCAAAATAGGTCACAACTCAGTAATCTCGCTATAAGGGAGGGGGATTTTTTTTTTTCTCTTCACTTAAGTGCGAACCAAATGGGTCAAGTAATCGCGAGCGCATGCCCTAACACTAATTGACTTATTTTGGAATGATTATAACTGTAATATTTTTCTTAATGTCACTGTTTTCTGGGCTGTTGATTTTAGTGATTGCCAAGCGGTGGCATTAAATCTCTTGTAAATTTTAAATTGCATGCTATTTCTGTAAACAAGTCCCTCTGTTCACATCCTGATCATTAACCTTTGGTGATTTATATCACCGTCCTTTTTTTGCACAATTACAGCCCAGGCTGCTGGCGGGGCCTGGCTCTCCCTGCCAAAGTGTGCACAGGAAACAAAAGTGGGGTTTTATTCTAGCTTGTTAAGGCAGCCCTTTTTTTTTTAAGTATAATTTTATTTCATTTCTCAGCCTAAGTGTAAAATTACTGCGTTTCAGAGCTGCTAAACTGGCTGGTTTGATTGTTTTGTTGTCTTTTCAAATATGAAAAGACAGAAAGTCACTGTCAGATATTCATAAGTCTTAGGGTAGTCTTTTTTCCACAAACACACTTGAATAATTTTAAATTTTCTGTTTGCTGTTTATACCTCCCAGCTCAATTTTTCCTCTGATCAGGTATGTTTGTTGTTACAGGTTTAGTGCTTGAGAAGCTTGTGATTTTTTATCTACCTGTTAATGGACCGTAGCAGAGGAGCAAATATATGGAATTCCCTTGTGTTTTAAAGATGAAATTTTTTTAGGACCTGTCTAATTTGAGGAGTATTCTATCTTACTGATCAAACTAAGTACTGAAGGCACCTTGGTATGGGAACACAGTCATGCTGGCCATGGACCAAAAGGTTTTGAGACACAGCATCAAAATGAAATTCTAAAATTGGGCAAATGTATCATTTTTTTGATGTTTTACCCCCCACCCACAAGCAGGAGGTTCAATGTTCATAGCTTTGAGCTGATACTGTGAGCCTTTGTGTGAGAGCCACAATGGTGAGACATGCAAATGTGGAGTTAATGAGCACTGTAAGTATTAAAACCCACATGTTTAGATAATTATGCCTTCAAAAAAGAGAACGATGATGGGAAATGACAGTCCAGAATAACAAACCTGCTTTGGTCCTTGGCACACGCTTGCTCGGTTGCCCTCACACCTTATTTACACGCCAAAAGGTTTCCATCAGCTTCAGCCCCAACTTGAAAAGCTCTCCAATCATTTTGCACACCCTCCTGGTGTTTTTGGGTGTTCAGTGTGTGCTGCCAGGTGGGCACAGCTCAGGTGGAGGTGGAGGAAGGTGCAGCCCAGGTGCTGCACTTGTGCTGTGGGTAGGTGGTGGTGATGTCTTCTTGGGCCACCTAAAAACGGAGGCCAGACAAAAGTAAGAGAATAAAAGCGGTTAAATTTAAATTTAAATTATTGAAGGGCCTTCAGGTACATTTAGGACACACAGAGCCCCCTCAGGGGCTACACCCAAAAAATGGACGACGGGCCATGGGTTTTCACACTTTCATAACTTTGATCCATTTGCATATTGGGGGTTAATCTTCTAATTACAGCTTCAGGTAATGAAGTCATTTATCCCCAGTTTGCTGCCCCCCAACTCACTTTTGTTTACATTTCTCAGGGTCTGAGACAGTGAGGTGTCCTTGATTGCTAGGCCTGGAGAGGAATTGTTGTGTCTAACCAAAATGGCAAAATGGGAGAGCAGCAGCTGACACTGCGTATGGAGTTTAGAGTTCTACACTAAATAATTGCAGGGTTACAAATATATGCAGAGTATAAAAGCTAAAATCCTGTCTAAACTGAAATTTTAAAAAATTTTTCAACTTCTGTTGTCTTGGCACCCAAATAAAACATCGAGCCATGAGGCAGAGGGCTTCAGTGCCTTCAGCCTCTCACCAGCACTCAGATAAATGTGATACAGAACAGAGTAAAACTCTTCCAGTGGAACACAACCTTTACCAAGAGCTGTGGGCAAGCGATAGCAGAGTTCCATTGTCCTGATAAGGTTGATTTTCAAAACTAATTAGATTTAGACACTGGGTTTGGAAAGAGGAGAGAAGTATTAGCATAGCCATGCCCAGTGGGACATGGCACAAATATTTCCTTAATTGAGGCTGCTAATAAACATACTTATCTGCCAAGTGAGGGGGGTAATTCACACCGAGTGGCGAAAGGTAACCCAACCTAACGTGAGTGGGACGTAAATAACACGTTGTAAACAAATTGTGTGTTGTAAACAACTCCTGTTGCTTCCCAGGGCACCCCAGCAGCTCTTCCCTCTCCTTCTTTTGAAAGGATGAAGGGTTATGGTGCTTGAGCAGAAGAGATTTTCAGGAGAGGGAGGAGGAGGCGATGAAAAAGGAGCTTAAATAGGTCTGGGTGTTACTTGGGGCAGGCTTAGCTGGGATTCAGGCTGTAACCTCAGCTCCTGAAGGGGCTTCAGGAGCATTTGAAACACGCCCTCGATGGGGTTTTGGTGCTGCACTTGACCTCTTGTTCCTCAGAAGTGTTTCCTGTGTGAGTGGCACCACCCTCCAGATGTTCATGATGAGGTACTGTTAATTAGCAGCAGCACCAGCATCCTCTGGTATCAGACAGCTGTGTTGGGCAGAGATACAAATGCACAGCCTGCTTGCCCTGGAAGCCAGGAGATCCAGTCTTATTCCTGGTTCTGGCAAAATATTCCTAAATACCTCTTAGAAATACCTAGCTATTAATTTGTTTAAAAGGCAGCTTTTAGGATGGGTGTGATTCCTGCATGGCAGGAAGGAGCCCTTGCCTCCCGTTGATTTCCTGTGCTGAAAGGTTGGACCAGGTGATCCTTGAGGTCCCTCCCAGCCTGATCTTCTGGGATTTTGTGACTTTGAATTGTGTCCCTCACTGGTGCAAGGTGTCAGTGGTTATTTATGCAGTTCTTAATATTGAGAGTAAAATAGGGAGTGGAAGTGGTGAGACCAAGCTGATTTGTGCACTCCTGAGAGACACCAGGAGGTGTGAGTGCTTCCTCTCACATGTGTTTTCCCTACATTCCATAGACGTCAAATGGAGTTCTCTGGAACAAGTTATGGACTAATTGTATCCTGTGGTAATTTTCAGGGTGGTTTTCTAAACCTGATCTCATACACATCACAAACACATGGGTAGGGGAAGGCAGTGAAGACATGCTCTAAACATTTGTTTTTTCTTCCACAGTCTGTTGCTCCTAAGAAATTTTATCTCTTTGTTTTCCAGAAGTGGGTGGACTGTGGCAGTGTCTGTTTTTTTGGCAGAGCAAAATAAGTGTGAACTTGGGTTAAATGCAGTTGATTGTGGAAAGATGACAGTGAGAAGAGTGTTCCTGGAATCCCAGAATGATTTGTGTTGGAAAGGACCTTAAAGCCCATCTCATTCCACCCCTGCCATGGCAGGGACACCTTCCAGTATCCCAGGTAGCTCCAATCCCTGTCCAACCTGGCCTGGAACATTTCCAAGGATGGGGCAGCCACAGCTGGGCACGCTAAAATTCCCTGATTCCATGCCTGCTTCCACTAAAAGAAAAAATATTTTGTGCTTTTCCTTCCATATCATCATAATCTCACAATTTTGGCTCATTTCCCATCCCAGCCACCCTTCCCTTTTCAAAAAAAAAAAAAAAAGGGCAAAGCAAAGAACAAGAGCATTTTAGACATCTCCTGTTCATAATAACTTCCAAATGGAAGTTGGTGGCATCTGGTTCTTCACACTTTAACCCTTCCTATGCTGCCCTTCCAGGAAATAATTGATGACTGATTGGCCCATTAACCTTTTTTTCTAAAAAAAAAAAAGTTTGACAGCCTGGACTTGGTAATGAGGAGGGATTCCTGGTGAAATCAGGCTGATAGCTGAGTTGCTTGCCCCTGAGGATGCAAAATTAGCCCCGTGGGACCTCGTCTGCATAGAAACTGGACACAATTAGTGTAATATCCGGTGTTATTAATGTAGTTTGGGGTAATTGGGCAGGTTGATTTCGACAGGTTGATGGTGCTAAAATACTATTATAGTGGACCTTTCCATGAATAACTGTTAAACATGGAAAACTGTTTAATAAAATTTTGTGATTGGGCTCACAGGGATTTAAATAGCACAACCTATAATTTGACTGAAGAGTTAAAATGAACAACTTCATCCTCCTGCCTGGATTTTCCTGTTCCTGCATGCTGTGTTTAAGGACGTACAGGAACAGGTTTGTTCCTTGTCTTCTGAAGGAATTGCCTTGGGGGTGATGTGGAGCAGGCACTGCTGCTTTGTTTCACAGTTGAGCTTGGGGGAAAAAAATATTGGTGTGTTTAAGCAGAAAGAATTAGGGAAGATGTCTTCAACCAGCACAGCTTTTTGGGGAGTAAATCTGAAGCTTCAGAGGATATAGAATCATGGAATTACTAAGGTTAGAAAAGACCTACAAGATCAAGTGCAGCACTGCCAAATTCACCACTAATCCATGTCCCCAGGTGTCTCATCCATAGGGGTTTTGAACATTTACTGGGGTGGGGACTCCAGCACTTCCCTGGGCAGCCCCTTCTAACCCTGAGCACCCTTCCCATGGGGAAATTCCTGCTGCTGTCCACCCTGACCTCCCCTGGCCCAGCCTGANAAACCTCCCTGGGCAGCCCCTTCCAGTGCCTGAGCACCCTTCCCATGGGGAAATTCCTGCTGCTGTCCACCCTGACCTCCCCTGGCCCAGCCTGAAGCCGTTCCCTCTCCTCCTGTCCCTGTTCCCTGGGAGCAGATCCCAAATCCCCCCGGCTGTCCCCTCCTGTCAGGGAGTTGTGCAGAGCCACAAGAGCCCCCCTGAGCCTCCTTTTCTCCAGGCTGAGCCCCTTTTCCAGCTCCCTCAGCCCCTCCTGGGGCTCCAGCTCAGTTTTCTTCTCTGGACCTCAAAATGTCCTTCCAGCCCCACCTGAAAACGTGCTGCAGCTCTCCTGGGCTTGTTTCTGCTGTGCAAACCATGTATGTGTGATCAGCATTATTAAAGAGGAGATCAAATGATTCAGTGGTGCTGCAGAGACCTTAACTGTGTTGTCCTACAGGAGACCGTGCACAGGACTAAATGTAACTTCATTTATTGTGGAGTAGTTCCTCTTTAGCTCTTCCTCATGAAACCCTGAAAGCTGTGCTTGATAAACGAGGCTGTGTGCATGATTTATTCATGGCATTTTGGATAATGTTTGTTACCTGTTTGTTTGGAACACGGTGTAGCTGAAATGGAGCAGTTGTAGCTGTGCAGTTGCATCTTTCATTTTGACCCAAAGTGAATGACATGGAGCTATGTCAGGGCAGGGTTTAGGCTGGATTTTAGGATGAGGTTCTTCCCCCAGAGGGTGCTGGGCACTGCCCAGGCTCCCCAGGGAATGGGCACAGCCCCAGAGCTCCAGGAGTGTTTGGACAATGCTCTCAGGGATGCACAGGGTGGGATTGATGGGGTGTCTGTGCAGGGCCAGGGCTTGGATTTGGATCTTTCTGGATCTCTTCGAACTCTGGATATTCCATGATTTCTTTTCCCACTTACCCCATGCACCATTTTTCAGTAAAACTTCAGGTACCTTCCTGCACCTGAAAATAACCTTCTGCTCTGTGTTTATCCCCCACCTCAAGATGCTAAGTCACCTCCTGCTGTTTTTGAGGAATCCTTAGAGCAGTGCAGGTGCTGGCCTTGCTGACATGGAGCTTATCCAAGAAAACCCCTTGTCCCAGAGCCTGGGAACACAGCTGCCAGCGGGCAGCAGTGCTGTCTTAAAATCTGGTGCTGGATTTGTCCCTGCTCTTTGTATGTTTATGGATGATGAGGGAACACAGTCGTGTCATGGCTCTGAATATATAATAAGTCATTATCGGACAAAATGTTCTCTCTGAAGCTCGTTATGGCTGATGTTCACCAGAATTTTGTGCTCTATTATTCTTTTCCTTTCATGCTTCGTGCCAGCCCTTCCCAATTGCACTTACTCTGTTTCAGCTTCCTTGATTTTTTTTAATTTGGCATTGGTGTCCCATGTGTAAGTATGGGGTGCATGTCCATTTATTTCAGTTCTGCTGGTATTTCCGTGTGCTGCTCCTCTGGCCTGAATACTTGTCCTTCTCCTCCAATAGCCCTAAGGATATTTCACTGACCCTCTCTCCTGGCTTCTCAGATCATTTTCTCATCTCCCTTGTCGGACGTGGATGTTGAATAGGTTGAACTGATTTTAATCCTGTATTACAGCCCAGTAATTATTATTATCTCAGTATTTATGCTGTAGAGGAGAAAATGTCCACATCTGCTTTAATGTATCTGTGCTTGTAAAAAATGCTTGAAAGAGGGTAAATTGTTACATTTTCTGTATTGTCCGCTCTTTGTGGTCCGTTCATCTTTTATTTTGTGGCACCCTTTGATTTTTACATTATGCAGCTTTTAGCACCTCAGGCTTAAATCTAAATGATGCTTGTTGGCCACTTTATGTTTGATTAAGGTAGAGACTCGATTCCAAACTCACAAACACAAGGACTGAGCATTTACTCAAACCAGTGCTTTATCTGCATGGCATTTGGAGAGCAAAAGCAGTGGATCCTGGTTGTTTCCTACTGCACTCTGCAGGGCAGGATCCAGCCTCAAACCTCATGTCCAGACCTGCAGTTACAGGATTTGCACAATCCCAGAATGGTTTGGATTGGAAGGGGCCTTCAAGATTATCCAGTCCCACCCTTTGCCATGGGCAGGGACACCTTCCATTAGCTCAGGGTGCTCCAAGCCCCAGTGTCCAACCTGGCTTTGGACACTCCCAGGGATCCAGGGGCAGCCACAGCTTCTCTGGGCACCCTGTGCTAGGGCCTGCCCACCCTCACAGGGACAAATTTCTGCCCAATAGTTCATCTACGTCTACCCTCCTTCAGCTTAAAGCCACTGTGTAACAGAAGATGTTATAATCAACCAAGGTTGTTTCAGCTACTTTCCATCATCCTTAATTTAATCTTTTATTTCTATTGCATTTTTTGTTGTTTTTCCCAGAACAAGAGGAAAACTTTGAGTTTATCATCGTCTCTCTCACGGGCCAGACTTGGCACTTCGAAGCAACCACCTACGAAGAGAGGGACGCGTGGGTCCAAGCCATAGAGAGCCAGATCCTGGCCAGTTTACAGTCCTGTGAGAGCAGCAAGAACAAGGTATGGAGCACAGAGTGCTGCTGGCAATGAGCCGCACAGCCCTGCAGGGCTTGGGTGGGCATTAGGATGACAGCAAACTCTGAATTTGAAGCCTGTGCTCCTCGAAATATGTGTGTGTGTGTTACCCCCACAGCTGAGCAGGGGAACTTCCTGAGGGAAGAACTTGGCCTGGGAGGAGCAGCTTTCCCCCTTGGAATGCTTCCCTTTGATTACAGAAGGAATCTGCTCACCTTTCCTGTAAAAACAAATGTTTAAAATCTGAGATGTCTTCAGCCAATGCTCATTTTTGGGAGAACTTCGGTGTCTTGAGTGCAGGTGTCTGTAAATACTTTGCAGGAGAGGGTAAGGTGCTGAGTGGTGATTGAGGGAGAGAAATGGCCAATAATTGTCCAGAGCTGTAGATCCTTTAATATTACCCATCTAACAGTTGTCTTTCGTGATTTTACACTGCAAGGAAGCGACTCATATTTTTAAATGAATGCCTGCTTTCATTGTCCTGGTGTGCCAGGGTAGATCAAACACCAGTAATTAGCATCATCATAACACAATTTACTTCCCATTTCGTGTTAAAAAATGGGTTTATTTCCAACATATATTGCTGAGATGGAGGAAGAATCACAGCTTACATGTTTCTTGCTTTGCATGGGTTCACATATTTTGATATGTGTGTGTTATCAGAGCACAGAAGGGGAAGTTTGTACATTAACACCTACATAAAAGGATTAATACAAAAGGATAAAGAGTGGCTGGGCAATGGCTCAGAGAGGTTTTTCTCACTGGGTTCCCAAAGCATATCAGAAGAACTGGCTGGAACAGCAAAGTGCAGTTGACTGGACACGTTTAGCAGGTGTCCCATGGAAGTTGTGTCACCATGTGGATATCCACAAGTCCTGCCTAAATCACTTAAATCACACCTCAGGGAGCCCTCAAGGCAGTTTAGTTGGGTAGAGCTGACCTGCCTGCATATCAGGAGAGTCTCCCCAAGCAGAGGTCACAGGCAGGTCATCGTGGGGAGCATTTAAACAGGAGCCACCGGGTGAAATCTCACCTCTGGATGATGAAAAAGTTCCAGCTGCTTCTGCAAACCATCCCTTAGTCTTCATTAGCACCAGCACACACACCAAAAAAGGAAATTGATATTGTAAAATAATATTCTTATCTCATTTATCTCAAGAAGCAAACCTACAGTGTGGCTGGTGCTCTTGGGAAGAGCAGGGCTCATTCCCAAGCTTGATTTGCCTCTGTAAGAGTCCAGGCTGGAGACCCCAGAAGTCGTGGAGATGCCAAAGATGCTCCTTGAGAGGCAAATCAAGACTTGAGGTTCCTTCATCGACCTTGGTCTGAGCTTTGGGGTTTGTTGTTCATTCAGCTGACACTTGTGTCATTTGGGGTTTTTTTGGGTCCTTGCTTGCTGCTCATTGCTGTTTCTGCCTCCCACAGTCACGGCTGACGAGCCAGAACGAGGCCATGGCCCTGCAGTCCATCAGGAACATCAGAGGCAATTCCCACTGCGTGGACTGCGAGGCACAGAGTGAGTGCAGCACCTGACTCCAGCTCTGACCCCTTCTCCTTGGCCAGCACCTGGGAGACACCCAGCCCTGCCCTCCCTGCTGAGACATCCCCTCTATTGTTTGCACATTTCTGCTTCCTTAAGGAGTTTGCTTAACCATACTTGTTTGATCTTAATATATGCTCGATATCTGCCACATCAAGTGCATCCTAATTTTTTCCCCTCCTTGTTCCACGTTGAATGTTTGCATTTCTGTACTTCCCTTCAAAAAAAAAAGGCAAAAAGTTTGCTGTTTGGCATCAGTCTCTTCCATTTTCCTCCTGTTTTGCATGGTGAGGGCACATGTGCCATGGTAATATTTTCAAAGAGGTAGAGATTGATTGCTGGTTTTTTGGTTTGGTTTTTTAGGCTTGCTTGTCAGAAGAAACCAAAGTCATTGCTCATTATATCTGGATACTAGAAAACTGATTTGGGATTTTTTTTTCTTCCCCTTTGTGTTTCTTCCCCCCCCTTTTTTTTTTTATTTTTTAAAACATATACGTAGTGTTCAGAAGAGTGTTCTCAGGAATACTTTGAGCTGTGCTTCACCTCACTAACCCCGACTGAGGCCATTATTCTGGTGCTCTTTAGTTCCAGGGGTTTGCAACAAAGCCACAGAAAGGAAGTTCTCTTGCTCTAAAGCAATTAGTTGTAGGAGCTGAAGGACTGAGAAGTTGTACATTTTTATTTCTTGGATATTTGGAAGTCAGAACTTTCCTTGCAATTTTTAGACATGCTTAAAATGGAAAAATACTCATTTATTTTTCTTCAGGTGTGATTTTCACTTTTAAAGATTGTCCGCTTGGGATCTTGACTCCTGGTCTCAGCCATTCTGACACTCCAGTGTAAAAAGAACATTTGTACACAAGTGCAGGTGCTTTTGCACCAATAATTTGGTCTCTGCTTTCACTCTAAGTGATTCAGCACGTGCTAAACCAGGGAAAAGCTTGTTTTGAGTGGTGTTCTAGCACCTGGAGCCCAAAGTGAGTCTTATATATTAGTGTGCTTTCTTAGTGACCTGGCAGTCATTGAGATTTCCCCCAAAGCTTTAATGCAGCTCAGGAGGAAGGCAGGAAGGGTGGTGTGCTGTGGATGAGGAGGGGGGGGTCTGAGAGTGACCTACATGGATATTTAGCTTATTTGAAATCTTCACTGCTGCCTCTGAGCAGCCCACGGTGGGAGCAGTGCTGAGTCCTGCTCCACTGGGGGTGGCATTTTCCTAGCCTTGCTAGAGAAATATTTACAAAATACACAAATATATTATATTTTTATATATATATGGGGGGGGGGAGGTTATATGATACATCTATAAGATGCAATCCCTTCAGTGCAGGCAGCTTCCTTGCCCACAACATCCTTCTGATCCAGCTCAGCTCTACCCAGACTCCACACTATCCCCAGGGCTCATTTCTCTCCCCAGCCATGCACCCATCCCAGGATTTATGCAGCCAGGCTGGATGTTTAATCAGGAGAACGCTCATGCAAGAAAGCAGTGGTCTTTTTTTTTCTCTTTTGGAGGTCCCCGTTCCCCCCCGCCCCCCCCCAACCAATTTGGTTTTCAGCCAGATTGCTCATGGGTCAAGCTGGCCCCCCAATAATGGTGCCAGCACCAGGGATGTGCCAGGAACACATTGCTGGGAGAGGGCAGAGTGGAACAGCCCATTTTGGCAACACTCTGTCATGTAGCTTTTGCAGGGGGATGATTTTGAAATCTCAGCTGGACTTGCTTGTATTCTCAGAGATGATTTATACCCTCTTTGACTCCTCTTGCTGTTTGACCTTCCTGATTTTAAGGCCACTGTCATTCCTTTGGAAAAATGTGAGATATTTCCAAAGCAATGGATCTTAAAATGTAAACACACACACAGGAGATGAACCTCAGACTGCTGCTTTTTCTGCAGGGCTTGGCTTTATTCCCTTGCTTTCCTTCCTGCCTTGCCTGGGCAGGTCCTTACCCCCAGAGCACTTAACATCACAAACGCCAGCACTCCGTGGAACTCTCACGCTGTTTGCGTCTCCACAGAGCCAGATGTTTGGGAGCACAGGAGTGTGAGATCTTGCCATCCCTCAGCTCTATTCAGGAGCCATCAATCTTCCACTTCAGAAGTCTCATTCTTCCTCTTTCTGGAGCTCTTTGCCTTTTGAGCACTTGATGCAGCACTTTGTTTCACTGGGGAATTCTGCCTTGTTGGATGTTAATCCAGCAGCTGTGTGCTGCCAGCATTCCGGCCCTCTGGCAGCCTCCAGCTAAAATTATTCAATACTCTCCTTTTAACATTCCCATCCCAGAGCAAGAGAAGAGGCAAAGTGCTCTTCAGGAGCTGGAGTTTGTACCCAAGATCTGATTTCATGTTTGAAAAGGAGACTGATGTTGCCTTTTCCCCAAGCAGTGGAGTCCCAGTGCTGACTTTGTCTGGAGAAGCCACCCAAGGTGATCCAGTTGTTTAGGCAAACGCAGATGAATTTCTGGATTTTGGTTCTGCCAGAGGATAAATATGAGTCAAGATATCTGGAGAACATGGAGCATCTTGGAACATCATGGAACAGGTCTTTGCTGTTGTATAAGAAAATAAGGGAGGGTTTAAAAGCATGGATTCTCATCCTGAGTTTTCCAGGCCAGGAGCCTGATCACTTACTCTGGTGTATTTTGTACTTGAAAACCAAGCACTGAGATAATAATTTGGGCAATCTTGTCCTACCTATCACAAAGTTCAATTTTTCATGCAGAACAGGAAAAAAACCCCAAAACTCACAAAGTATAGGAATTCTCTCTCTTCTGCTGTAACTCGAGATGCCTTCACCCCTGCTTCTTCTTTCCCTGGCTCTCCTCCTCCTCCCAACAATTCCCTCTGTTCAGCCCAGGGATATCTTACAGCTGCTGACTCAGGAAGGTTCAGCCTTTCATCAGCTTCCTTGGATGCAGAGGGATGAAGGAGACACTGGGGAGAGGTTATCCTCCTGGGAGAATTTTCACCTCCAAATGGTGAAGCTGATTGAGGTGCAAGTCAGAGCAGGGAAGAGGTTTTCAGGGAGAGAGGGAGCCAAGTGTTTTTGAGAATATGAGCAGCTGAAAATTGTAATCTGGATATATTCAGTGGTGCTAAAAAGCTCATTTTTGGTGGACCAATTTTAAACAAAGCAACCTCTATCTGCGCTGAGTGGACTTTTTCTTCCTTTTACCGTGATGTCCATGCCTGCCACATGCTTGTGAGCCTCCTCCAATTCAGATTTACTCACCATCAGCAGGAAAAGGGAGCTGGGTTTGTATCATCTTGAAAGTAAAAAAAAACCCCAACTTTGAATAGTTACAGCTTTCTAACCACCTGTGGTGTTGAACTGGTGATAACAATTTTCATTTCTGTGAGGAACTCAGCCCTTGTCTTTCCTCATTTGCTGCTTTCCCACTCAGCTGTGTGTTGGCAGACTGTTGAAATTGAAAATAATATCTTGGTAAAATTTAATGGAACTTTTTAGAATTTAGTGGTTGTTGTTTTGGGTGACTCCTTCAGTCCCTTCACTCTTTCAGTAGCAGTGCTGGCAACTGAGAGGCTCTTCCAACCTAAAGCATTCTGTGGTGCTTTGAAGCAGGTGAATATTTAAAGAATGTTTTCAGTACAAGATGCACTACATGTGCTTCAAGTAGAGAGGTATTTGGGAGTGAGGTCAGGTCCTTAACACCAGTTCTGTCAGAATAATTGGAATAATCTAAGTTGATATTCCATTCTCTTGCTTCATTCTGAGTTCATGCCTCTTAGAGCTCATTGCACTTTGAATTTTTGTGAGGATAACCCTGGCCTTTGCAGGTCAGGGGTTTTCATCCCAGTCACAGTTTGCAAATTTCAAATTATTACTTGCTGTGTTCAAATTTATACCAACAAATTGCGATTTTGGGTTTTTTTTAGTGTGTTTCAGATACACCACTGGTTCCCCCACTGGCAAAACAACAATGGAGGTATCTGAAGAATTATGGAATTAAAGGAGTTTGTTGTAGTTGTTGATCAGCAGCTTGGAAAGCATGGCAGGAGTTTGGTCTCACTTGATTTTTTTGAGAGCTGAAATGCTGTGTATGTATAATGTAGATATTAAATTATGTATGATATAAGACTTGGTATGGACAGGAACTTTTAAATCAAAGAAGTGTTTTTCTGCTCAAGTGGAGTAAGATGGGGGAATTTTTCTTCTTGGTTGCATTTTTCTATTTCAATGGACTGGTTAAAAAATGTGAGTCAATGCCTTCAGTGAAATGTGGGACTTCACAATTAAAATTATGAGCTTTCCATTCCTATTTTTTGTCCAAACATGACACAGCAAAGAGCTAGAAAATGTTTTGTTTCCACATATTCTGGCTGCCAGAAATAGCTTTTCAGTTGTGGGTTACACAAAGTCGAGACAAGTCTTTGGATGAATTTTTCAGAATGGAAGGAAACACTGGAAATTCATTTTCTCTGAACTCCAAATTTTGTTTAGGTAGGAATAAGAATTGCCTGCCCTCTTAATTAATCCCCGTTTTCCTGCTTGGCGTCTGGGGTAGTTCTTTGGGGTGCACAGAGTAAGGCATGAAGAAAAGATCTGACAGCAGGGGGTTAGAAAAAAAACAACAAAAATTCCTCTCGTGTCTTCACTTGCATTGTTAAGGTGAATGTTTGTTGGAGAGAAGGTAATCCATACAAATCTAGATTTAAATTGCACAGGACAGTGGCAAAAGTGTTCTAAACCATGTTGGGAAATGGAATTTCCCATCTTGTGTCAGGTTTGTCCCAGTCTCACCCTTCGTGGGGCTGTTCTGGGTGGGTGGAATCCTTCTGGTCCATGCCCCAGAACTGGGGCTGTTCCAAGTGGGACATTTCCATCTTGGTGTTCATTTCCCTGATTTTGGAGATGGGAGAAGACTCAGATGGAAGAGCCACACGTAGCTGGTGGTGTCAGTGGTTATTGAGGGAGCTGATGTAGTTAGCATGAGATAATTGTTTCTAGGCTCTATTTTTTTTTCTCCTTTTTTCCTTTCAACTGGCTATGAGCAGCTCTGGCTTTCCAAGGAGGGGCTTTCTTCACTGCTTTGTCACCATGGTTATATTTCCTTTGGTTATATTCTCCAAAGTGGTTCTATTCTCCTTTCCCCTCTGATTCACAGGGGTTTTTTGATTGCAGTTGGAGTGATACATCTTTGATGACACCACACTTTATTTTTCTTTCCTCCTTGAGGTTTTCTCCAAAGGGTTGGCATCTCCACTGACCCTGGACAACCTCCCAGCTGTGCTTTAGGACAAAACAGCCCCAGAGCCAAAACCTTCAGGCACAAAGAGCAGCTAGGAAGTTCTGTTGGGTGTCCCCTTGTCCTAATTGCTGTGTCCCTTGTCCTGCAGACCCCGACTGGGCCAGCCTGAACCTGGGAGCCCTCATGTGCATCGAGTGCTCAGGGATCCACCGCAACCTCGGCACGCACCTGTCCCGGGTGCGCTCCCTGGACCTGGACGATTGGCCCCTCGAGCTCATCAAGGTCATGTCAGCCATTGGCAACGAGCTGGCCAACAGTGTGTGGGAGGAGAACAGCCAAGGCCACGTCAAGCCTTCCTCAGACTCCACCAGGTGGGTTTTGGCTCGCTCCACCTCGCCCAGCGCACGATGCTGCCGCTTGAAATTGTCCCCTGTGGAAAAATCATTCTTTGTATCCTCACTGCCTGCCCTGAGAGAACGTGTGGCAGAGTCGGGGTGGCAAAAGTTGAGTGGCCTTGGTACTTTCTCGCTCTCAGGAAGGTTTCCTCAGCAGCTCTGCAGTTTTCTGTTCACTGGGAGATGGAAACCTCCCACCTGCTTCTTCCTCCATCTAAATTATCCTGTCATGTTCTCCTTTGTCTCGGTGGGCCACAAAGTTCCTGCCTCTTGGACTATCAGTTTGCCATTAATAATCTCCCTTCAGAGTTTCAGGGAGTTTGTACCTGGCTGTCAGGTCTTTGGTTCTGCTCAGGGCTGTTCAAAGTCCTACTCGCCATGGACTTGATTACTTTTTTTGTGTGTGTGATTTAAGTGAAACCATGAGCTGCTGGGGGATGTTTCCTTTGAGAACAGCATTTTACCTGCCTCTCATAGCTCCACACAGTGAAAATCTTCATGTGATGTGTTGTCCTACCTAAAACTGGGGGGTTTTATGCTTAATTAATCTGATCAGTGTCAAAGACAGATGTTTTGAGAATACTTTCTCCGGTTTTGGATCAGGTGGAAGGATCACTGTACCTGCAGTGGAGGGCTGGGTTTGTGCTGTTGTGTGCAATGAAGTCAACTGTTTCTTATTGCATTACTTCGTTAGCCCTGAAAAATGAATTTGTGGTGCCACCTTTGGTTCATCTTCGAGAATGAAGCCACTACATTAATCAGGCTACTTAGATGAATGGCTGTGCATTTTAAAGTGCTCAGGGAGCCTCAAAGAGAGGTTTTGTTTCAGGCAGAAATGGGATGTCTGCTCTATACCTGTGTATTATTAGATACAATGATTTCATCAAGTAGATTGAAATGAACTTTCAGTCATTACTATCACTTTAATACAGAGATTTTATATTCTTGCACCTCACAGATATATGTTGCTCCTTACTACTGAGGTGAGATGGAGCAATAGTTCTAAACACCTGAAAGGAAAATGCTTGCACACAATTGGAATTCTGTTCAAAAAAAGAAAAATCACATTATTTCAGTAGTCGTATAATAAACATTATGAAAAATCTAAAATCCATGTGGCTGTAATGAAGAGACCGCCATCCATTTCAATTAATAATTCTTTTGGGATTGAATTTTACTTCTAGAAAATCAGCTTTTTTCTCTTAGTATTTCATACTCAGGGCTTATTTTAATTCTCCTACTTTGTTTCTGTGCATCTTAATGGTTATATTCAGCTGATTCTGATTGGCACTGATACCACTGCACTTTCTTTCCTGCACTGCAACATTTTTGGACAAAAAGATTCATTTTATAAATAGGATTTTCTAGCTCTGTGTCCAGGTTCACACTTATGTGATAGAAGAGGTACTAGAAAAAGTAGAATTAGGATGATGTGGAAATTTTCCCACAAAGCAATTGCAATCTTTGCTGCTCCCATTCCTCTGCTGTTTGCAGCAGGGACTGAAATGCAATTTTTCACGTAAATACCAGAAAGGTCTGCTTTTTCCAAGTGTGTGCCTCCTTTTATGCTTCCCTTTGGTCTCTGCCAGCATCACAATCCTTCTGTTCCAGCTGTGCTGAGAAAATAAATTTAAGTTCTTCAGGTAGAGGCTCTGCTTCCATGTTCTCACTGCTGTTTGGAGTTTTGCATGAGGAATTCTATTGGAAGCAGCTAAAATGGCCCTGAAAGGAGGGTTAAACAAACCTGCCTTTTGTTGTTGTTGAGGGACTGAAGGGGGAAGAGGCAACTCCAAGAGAGCTGGAGAGGGGACAAGGGATGGAGGGACAGGGCACAGGGAATGACTTCCCACTGCCAGAGGGCAGGGATGGATGGGATACTGGGCAGGAATTGTTCCCTGGCAGGGTGGGCAGGCTCTGGCACAGGGTGCCCAGAGAAGCTGTGGCTGCCCCTGGATCCCTGGCAGTGTCCCAGGCCAGGGGCTTGGAGCAGCCTGGGACAGTGGAAGGTGTCCCTGCCCATGGCAGGGGATGGAACAAGATGGTTCTGAAGGTCCCTCCCAACCCAAACCATCCTGGAAATCTGATTCTGTCATGGGCCCTTAATAGACACTTTTAGAGGGGATCAGGTGGGTTTCACATTTTCATGTAGTGTCTTTCTATTGGAGATGAAGCCATCAGTGGAAACCCACAGATTTCTAGAGGCATACAAAAAAAGAGTAATGAGCTGTTCCACAAATACTGAATAGTTGGGCTGGGAGGCTCAAGGAATGTTCATAGGCTGCACTAAAAGGAACCTGAAAGTCTTGATGTGGCTTTCAAAGCAGGCCCTTCAGCCTGGGAGGGATTGGCACTGATCATTCTATGCTTGCAGTGGCATCCTGTGTGTTTCTGTGGAGTAGAGGAGAAGGTGGAGGGATCCATGGAGATGGTTTTTGGCAGGAGGAATTGCCAAACAGCAGCTCTAGGTCATGGCATAATTAAGGAATCTTACCCAGAAAAATGTCACCAGTATTTCTGAAAACAGCTATGCCAGGCTGTGAGTACAGCTTCCCTTTAGTAATTTTGCACACTCAAAAATAAGGTATTATCAATTTCAAGACCTTATCATGGCCTGCACTTTGCTCATGAGGGACAGCTCCCATCTCTGCTCTCTGTGACAGGGACAGCACCCAGGGAATGGCTGGTGCTGTGTCAGGGCAGGGTTTAGGCTGAAGATCAGGAAAGGTTCTTCCCCCAAGGGTGCTGGGCACTGCCCAGGCTCCCCAGGAAATGGGCACAGCCCCAGAGCTCCAGGAGTTTAGACAGTGCTCTCAGGGATGCAGAGGGTGGGATTGTTGGGGTGTCTGTGCAGGGCCAGGGGTTGGATCAATGATGCTTGTGGGTCCCTTCCAGCTCAGGAGGTTCTGTGGTTTAACCACGTGAAATACTGCTGTCCTTTTCTAGCCCAAAAGCACTTCAGATTCTTCATCCAGGCAAATCATGGGAAAGGATAAACCTGTACATCTATTTTGAAGGTCAGAAAGGTTCTAAGATTGGAGGGTGTGTAAAATCGAAAGCCTAGGAGCTCTTCAGGAGAGGCATTCTCCCTCCTGCATTGATCAGAGATACATTGCCCAGGTATATCCTCTAGTGTTAATATATTCCAGGTCATGGCAGGTTGGAGAGCCAAGCAGCCTGGCCTAGTGGAAGGTGTCCATGGCAGGGGGTGGGATTAGATGGACTTCAAGGCTCATTCCAACCCAAGCCATCCTGGAATTCTTCAGGTAGATCTCCAGGTCGTTCAGTGCCCGTGTCTGTGAAAAGCAGCACCCAGGGTGGCCTCTGGCACTGGACTGGAAGGTTTTGGGAGCACAGGTGTGGTGGGCTCCCCAAGGAAGTGGTGCAGGGTAAAGCAGTGGCGCAAGGCAGAGCTGAGGGTGTTGCTGGGATTTTTGAGAGGAAGGAGGAATAAACACGAGCTCTGGTGAGCACAAAAACTGGAGAAGCAATAGAAAACCCAAGCACAGGCAAACACTTGAGTGTGAAAGGGAACAGAGACCTGCTGGCCCCTGAGCTGTGGTGTCTGTGGGTCCCTGATTAGGTCAGCTCTGGAGAGCTGGTAATTGGTTCCAGCAATTAGCAGCAGCCCTGAGAACGCCGCTCAAACTTCGGGAGGCCTGTGACAAATTGAAGCTGACTGCTGGTGAAGGAATATCGACTTCCCATTCCTAAACAGGGGGATCATTAGTCAAGAAAAGCATCTTTTAATTACTCGCAGGAAGAAGAAAAAGAGTGAAAAAAGGACAAAGATCTTTCAGTATGGATCCTGCAACAACGGCCAGCTTTTTTTTCCAAGTGTATTCAATATTAAATTTATTGTCTTGGAGGGGAGAGGGTGAGCAGGGGGAACTTGCCTGCAGTCCCTCCTTGGGTAATGCGTCTTTAATTTGGAGTGAGAAGTCAAATTAGAGTAAATCAATGTTGCGACAATTAACTGGGGTTGGGGATGGGATCAGGATTTTCCCTCTAATTGCTATTGATACTGTTTAAGCACACTCTCCCAACGCTGCTCTGGAGTGGTGCAGCACTGGAGGAGCCCTGTGGGGCTGAGCAGCTCGGTGGAGGAATGTTGGGGATGTGGGAAAGCCAGCTTGGGAACTCTTTGCCTTCTGCACTGATGTGTCCATCTCCTACCAGATATTTAGCTTTTTCTGGACACGCCTCACTTGTTTTGCTTTGTCTTCATGCTCATGTGGCTTCTGGTTTGCAGATTCCTTTGCCACCCAAGGTGGTGTTGGCTCTTTCTAAATGAGTCAAGCTGCCCCCATCCCTCTGCCCACTCCAGGAGATGGTTACCTGCTCCCTCACCCTCCTTCCCTGAGCTCTCAAGGACTCCATCTCTCCATTTGCCTGCCCCACCATGGGCAAGCTGAGGGAGGGCAGGGTCATATCCAGGCACCAGCCCAGTCACACTTCTTGTTTTGCTACTCAAACAACACCAGATATCTACAATAGCTACACACAGACAGGATTCCACCATTTCAGCATCTTTTTGAGAATATTCACAAACAGGTGGAATGTCCAACTCCATTAAAACCGTGTTTTTGAATTGAGGGATGAGTGCAGAAGTTCAGGCACAGTTTTAAGCTCTTTAACTGGAGCAGCAGTTGTGCTCAGGTCTGTTTGCTCAGCAGTCTCCCTGCTTATTCTGGGTACCAAAGGTTACAGGAAAATCCAACACTGGCTGAGCAGTCGCGAGTTGGGAGCCAGCAGTGTTGGGAATTGACTCTCATCTTCCAAGGGGAGATCCAGTGTGATCCTGCTCACTAATGAACTCAGCTTAATGGTGTCAGGGACAACATTATGCAGCTGCACTGTATTGAGTTGAGTTTTACAGTCCTGCACCAAAGCCTGGCTTGTGCTGCTCCGAGGAGAGTGGCCGTGACGCTGAGCTGGTCACTGGGGAGTGACCTGGATGAAAAATATTACACTGTGCC